AAAACAAGCGAGGCATGGCAACTGAACAAAACTACCTATGCAAACCAACAGGAAAGCAGCAGTAGACCTACCTCGATAGCAGACTTCTTCGGGGGTGCAGCAGTTGTAGGAGGTTCAGTGCCGTCACTGTCCCAATTCTCCTGGGCAGCTTTCATTGATATGCGCAAGGCGGTGGCTGCAACAGGTGCCACACGGGCTAACAGACCCACAAATTCCGTACTGGAGAGCACATCTTCGGGCTTGTTCTCCTCAATCAACTTCTTGAAGCTATCCCAATTCTGGAAGTAGAGTTGTGTAGGCGTCTTGAGAATGCGATCGTAGATGGCCAGAGCTCGTTGGAGCCGATTATGACCACTCTCCCAGCTGATGTAGTGCTCCCAGAGAGCATCCGAACGGAACTCCATGCCCGCCTTTTCCAAAGCTAGCTCATAGAGACTAGGCAACGAAAACGAAGAAAAGAGGGGGGAATGGTACAGGTCTGAGGGTACACAAATGTTTAGGTTGAATCGTTAGCGTAAGCACAGGGGCGAAAATTATAAAAATACATTGCGTGACCCCATCAATTGTTATGCTGCAGGTGCAGCTTACGAAGACATAACGTTGTATGCAATACGAATTAACAAATCTGCGACTTTAGTCGATTTGCTTTAGCAATATGGAGAATCTTCGACGTTTAGTAGCCAAATAATTGCGGTCAATGTCATTGAAACACAAATGCCAGACGGGTTTGAGCTCAATCCTCATGAAATTTTCACTCGGCTTTACCTCGTTCTTCTTGTCATTTATTGTGTACATGGATAGGAAAAGGCGGTTGTGACACCTCCTCGTGAGAAGAAATAGGTGTCACCAAGCAAGCTGAGACCATCTAGTCCGGGCTATGCTTCTGATTCAATTCAACAGAACAGTTTCTCTGTCTTTGTCAGCATCCGGACGTCCTGCCTAATATCCGATATCGTAACTCTTTTTTCACCAGCTGTGTATACCTCTTTGAACACTACCTCTTTGGGA